CAAGAAAATTTTGTTTGGGAAGGTAAAGAACCTGGATTAGAATCCCAACTGCCACTAGTTAGCCATATGATCTCAAAGCAAGTTATCTAACCTCTCTGAGGATGTTTCCTTGCTTGTTAAAACAGGGGTTGCTGTGTATATCAGAAATGATATATGTAAAGTATCTGACACGTGGCAGAAGTTCAGTAAACAGAAGGTAAAATTTCTTTCTTTAAAGCCTACAGCACTGCACATTCCAAGGCAGTCTCCCATCCAAGTACTAACCAGGGTTCAGATGAGATCAGGTGTGTTCAGGGTGGTATGGCCACATACCAAAATGTCATTTCTACCTTAACTGAAATATTCAGTTTATTATCTGGTTAGCAGTGTAACAGAAAGATAACTGCCCTAAAATCTTTTAACTCAGAGCTTAAATCCAGTTAACTCCTATATTTAAGGAATTGTAAGCAGTGTGTTAAAAACTGCATTCTTTCCCCGATTTTTACCAATACCAAAAGCAAACTTCATTTTAAAATGTACTTATCAACCACCTTGCTCTTCTTTTATTGGAACTCCTTTTCAAGGGAAAACATTTGACAAAATTCTGTTTCAACATATTACTTTTGCACCATGGGAAATATTGAATATTTACTACAAAACACTTTGATAGAAATTACAAAAAAACTCATCACCAGTGTGAAAATTCTGGTGTGAAAATAAGCTCGTTTAAAACTATCGTTCCAGGGCCAGCCTGTGGCTCTCTTGGGAGAGTGTGGTGTTGATGGTACCAAGGTCACGGGTTCGGATCCCTATATAGCGATGGCCGGTTTGCTCACTTGGGAGAGCGTGGTGCTGACAACACTAAGGCAAGCGTTAAGACCCCCTTACCGGTCATCTTTTAAAAAAAACAAAACCATCGTTCCATAAATTAACCACCTTTATTGTTTGCATGACCCAAGAATAGTCCAATAACTGGCTGTTTTAGGTCAAATGCTTGGAATAATATTGCAACTTTTGATGAAAAATTCGTTGGCATATTTAAAGCCAATTAAAGAAGAATTTCAATGCCTGGTTTGGAGTGCCAAAATATTTTTACTAAAGCCCTGGCCTTCCCCTTTTACAACTTTTCCTTTAAAAACACATATACAAGGGCCGGCCCCGTGGCTCACTCGGGAGAGTGCCGCGCTGGTAGTGCTGAGGACACGGGTTCGGATCCTTTATAGGGATGGCCGGTGCCTCACTGGCTGAGCGTGGTGCATACCACACAGTGACGAGGGTTGCGATCCCCTTACTGGTCAGAAAAACAACAACAAATAAACAACAACAAAAAACATAAAAACACACATACAAACTGCAAATTATATGCTCCAGAAAGTGGAGGTATGGCTTAGACCAACTGGTCTTTATAAATTTCCATTCTGCATTAAAAGAACTTGTAAGCTCTGAAGGGATCACTGCTGCTCAACTCTAGTCTTATACTCATAAGTATCCCTTCCCACTCATCTAGATCTCGACCTAGTGCTAATTTCCTACAGGAGTGGAATATGGGACAAACGGGCTCCAGCACCAGCCTGATAGTCTGGGCCCGGAGGATCGACTACGTCGAGGTTAACTTCCCTGCCTGCAGGCGATGGGCGGGGCAGCGCCTGGAAAGCTTAGGTAAGAGTCAACTTTTCACCAGCCGACTCCGAAAAAGTAAAACAAACGGGGATGAAGAGGGGGGAGGTGGAAGGCGGGAAGGAGAGTAGATTCGCCCCATCACCTGCCTCCTCACACGCGTGTCCTTTTCGTCGCACTCACTGCCCTCAAAGAGACTCAGATTCAAACGTTCCAACTGCAAAGTGTCAGAGTTCCCCTCCCAAAAGGGTTATCAAATTGGGCGGGAGCTCCCGCGAACTCTGACCAGGCGCCTTGGCGAAGGCCTAGGGCCAGGAAGAAGGACGTGGGCGGATGGGGGAACCAGCTTTCTCACGGGAAGCCGCCAAACGCCGCTTCCTGCCCGCCTCTCCGTCACACGCTCTCCTGGGCTGTGCCACCTAAACCGTACGCTCGGTGCCTCCCGCCGCCAGTCACCTCTGGGTTTCCCTCCGGCCTCCCCCTAGGGACTTCCTCCTCGCGGCTCCGCTAGGCCCCAGGACCCGCTTCACGCCCGGGGCTCGGCCTGCAGGCCCCGCCAAGCAGGCGGGCAGCGAGGGACCGTTCCGGCCCAGTCCCGCCGCCATTTTCCGGCCACCGTCGCCGCCGCGTAGGGGGGACGATCCCGGAGGAGGAGACTGCGCAGGGGCGCACCGGTCCCCGCCGCCGCGGAGGGGGGAGCGTCCGTCGGCACGGGGGATCCTCAGGATCTCCGAAGCCTCCCCTCGTTGGCGACCCTGCCCCAAGTTTAGGCCTCCTGCCGGGCCTTACCGAGAAGCCCCTCCCTGCCCCTCAGATCCCCGTGCTTCTACTTACGCGGAAGAATCCCGCGTCCATCTTGCTGCCTCGCTCGGAGATCGCTCCCTATCCCAGGGTGCACCGCGCCGCCGCGACGGAGGGCGGGACCGGCAGAGGGAAAGCCGAGCGCCGGGACGCAGCGCGCGCCGCCCCGCCCGCCCCCTCCAGCCGACGCGAAGCCGCGCCTGCTCAGTGCGCCGGAGGTGAGCTTCTGCCGAGCCCGAGGCTCCCCCGTAGCCAGTAGGGGAGGCGAGCCTGGCGACGGCAGCCAATGGGAGCAAGAGGAAGAGACGTCGGGTCGTCCCGCCCAGTGAATCCTTTTGTGGAGCGTGACCAGCCAGGTTAGCGCAACGGGGCCTGGCCCATCCTGCGACCCGTTGGGGGGGGGGGGTGTCGCGCCCGGAGGTTCCATGGAGCGGTTGAAGAGAAAGGCTGTTACCTCAGAGTGACGCGAGTGAGGCGGCCCCTGTGCCCGCGGGAGGGAGCCTGAGGCCTCCCGCTGTCGTTAGAAAAGTTGTGATTGTGTGGGTTTTACGAGTTCATTAGTTGCTAGGATTGGCTGGAAAGTAGTTGAGCTGTCTTATCAATGAAATCTGCACTCTAGCCGAATTTGCTTGGCTTTTGTTAGAAGCTGGACGTGTCCATTAGATGAGTTTCGGTTTCAGCCGCCCGTAACCACGCCAAAGGCAGGAGCCGAGGGCCGCGGGTCAGGCGGGGACGACAGGCCGCAGGCGGTCCTCGCCGGCCCAGCGCCACCGCCTCACTGTCCCCGCTCTGGCTGTGGGGTGGGACGCACTCCACCCACCAGTGTCCCCCACGCGCTTCCTCTCCCTTCTCTCCTCTGCGAGAGAAGCATGCCTTCCTTTCTCAGAAAGGCCTTCTCTGGCCATCTTGTGTAAAATTCCCTCCTACACGCTCTCGCTCCCTTGCGTTTTCTTCGTGGCACTCATCACACTTAAAAGTACGTATTTATTTCCTCTCCTTGTTTTAAATACCAAGCATATGCTGACGACATTCATGCATCTCCAGCTCAGGCTGCGCTCCTGAACTTGTACAGCCAGCTGCCCGGCTGACATTTCCACCTGGACGCCAGGCTGAACTCTTGATTCCTACCCGCTCTCCCTCTCCACCAAAAGCAAACAAATGACCTGCTCCTCCCACAGTCTCCCTTGTCTCAGCTGATGGCAATATCTTTCCTTTGGTTTAGGACACAAGCCTGGGTGTTAGCCTTGACTCCCCTTTCCTTTACATCCCACTTCCAAGCCATCAAGAAACCCACTCTGCTTTAATCGTGGTTCAGGGCACCGTCATTTCTTGCTTGAGCTTCTACACTAGTCTCCTCCCTGGTCTTCTTGCTCCTACCCTCGCCTCTCAGCATCTATTCTAATCGTAGCAGTCAGAATGACACTTTTCTGCTCAAAACCCTCCAATGGCCCCTCATTTTTCTCAGCGAAAGCCAAAATCCTACCCGATGCCCAATATTTCTTCCTTGACCTCATCTCCTGGTACTCTAACCCTGCTCACTGCTTGAACTTCCTAAGTATGCTTCAAGGCTTTTGCACTAGTTGTGATTTCTTCCTAGAATGCTCTACCTCTACATACCTACTGGGCAAACCTTAAATTTTTACTCAATTGTCATTCAGTGGGGCCTACTCTGACTGTCCCATTGGAAATTGCACACATACCCTCTCTACATCCTGATGCCCCTTACTCTACTCTTATTTTTTTCATAACATTTATCACCTTCTAATATTTGTTAACCTATTTTAAATGTTTATTGTCTGTTCCCCACGCTAGAATGTAAGCTCCCTGAAGTCAGGGCTTTTTGTCAGTTTTATTCACTGATGTTTCCTGAGCACTTAGAATAGTGGCACATAGTACAGGATCAATGAATATTTAGTGGCACATAGTACAGGATCAATGAATATTTATTGAGTAAAATGAAAGCTTTGTCAGAGGGTCAAAGACAGGAAAGTGACTGGCCTCAGAACATAAAGCCACTTGACCACATGAAACTATGAAATCACAATGTCCCACATCTCACTGACCTCTATGGTTCTGATTAGTCATTCTGTTTTAGCCTTCCCTCACTTTCTGCCCCTTTGTTGCCAGTCCTTATAATGCTGGTTTTCCTCGTGGTTCTGTTATTGACACTTTTCTCTTTTCCCTGAACAAAGGTGACCTGTCTGTCCTCTCTTGGTTTTAATTACCTTTCATATCCCACACTTATGTATCTCCATCACAGGTCTGCCCCAGACCTATATTTTCAACTTCCTGCTGACATTCACTTGGATATCCTATAGGCACCTCAAATTCAACATATCCCCAAATGAATTACTCTTCATCCACTTGCTCCTAACCTTGTTTTTCCATTCTCAATAAATAAGCCCACCTTTATTCCTGTCATCATTCTTCTCTCTTCCTCACACTCTACAACCACCAAATCTTGCCCTTTCACCTCTTTTAATACTGAAAAGCTTGTGAATCTGGCAACTTCCTTCTAGCTCCCTTGTCTCTTTAATTTAGGCCATTTGGATTATTGGCCTATTTGGAAAATAGCCTTTTAACCACTTTCCCCCGCCTTCAGGGCTGATATCTCCAACCTACATGCAGAGTGATTTTCTTAAGCCAATCCTGTCCTTTCCCAACTTAAAACCCTTCAGTGGATCCCCATTGTTCTACAGATAAAATCCAAACTAGTTACTGTGACCTACAAAGCCCGTTATGATTTGGTTACTACTCCCTTATCTAGATTCACCACATGGGCCAATCCTCCCTCTCCCCATCCCTCACTTCTAAGCTGCAGCCACACTGAACTACAGACACTTGTCTAATTATATATATATATATATATATATATATTGTTGTTGTTGTTGTTGTTGTTGTTGTTGTTGTTGTTAAAGATGACTGGTAGGGCCGGCCCCATATATATATATATTTTTTGTTGTTGTTGTTGTTGTTGTTGTTGTTGTTGTTAAAGATGACTGGTAGGGCCGGCCCCATGGCTCACTTGGGAGAGTGCAGCGCTGGTAGCGCTGAGGCTGCAGGTTCGGATCCTATATAGGGATGGCCGGTGCACTCACTGGCTGAGCGTGGTATGGACCACACCGTGCCAAGGGTTGTGATCCCCTTACCGGTCCAAAAAAAAAAAAAAAAAGATGACTGGTAAGGGGATCTTAACTCTTGACTTGGTGTTGTCAGCACCACTCTCTCTGAAGTGAGTGAACAGGCCATCCCTATATAGGGATCGGAACCCTTGGCCTTGGCGTTATCAGCACCACACTCTCCCAGGTGAGCCAAGGGCCAGCCTTTGTCTAATTATAAACAGGGTAGGTTTTGAATGGCAGTTTCTTAGTCTGTATATCGGTAAGCCTAAAGTGACAAGAGTTAACTGAAATGTCACCTCTTTAGACAAGCTTTTTCTGACCAGCCTTCTAAAAATAGCACATATCTTCAATTCCCTCGCTGTATCTCACCCTGCTTTTTCTTCATAGCACTTATCACCTGACATTGTTATCTAGTTTATTTACATGTTTACTGTCTTGTTCCCATTTTTTTTTTGAAAAAAGCTCTATGAGGGCATGGATCTCACCCATCCTTGGAGCTCAATAAATATTTGTTGAAATGAATGTATGAATGAGTCTAAGGCTTAGATCCCAAAGCCATTTCTTTTTTTTTTTTTTTCCAATATGAAGGAAAGGCATAACAAATTTTATTATTTGACGTACTGGGAGAAGGCAACGCACGGGGTAATCACAAGAGAGTAATGTCCCAATTTCCAGTGGGGGTACAGAAGCATATATACTAGCGTTCATAAGAGAGAAAAGGTAGGGGGAGGTACAAGCCCCAGAACCATGGCCTGAGCCCAGGTTTCTTTGAAGTTCTCCCAAAGGCATTTCTATCAATGAGTGAGTTTATTCTTCGAAATGTTACAACCACTGATTCTGATCTACTGAAGCAGATGAGCCACCTTTCTGATGATCCCTGCAGATGCAGTTGAGAATTACTTGGCAGTGAAGGTTTTTGCAGACACCACTTCCTGCTCACTTTGATGCTGTGCAGATTAAAATAGGTCTTAAAGCCAACAAGCCATCCCCTGTGAAACCACCAGTGACCCAGTGACTCTTTTGCTAGGTCTGTTCTTTAAGCCCTCCAATAAACTCTGAGCCTCAAAAAGCTAAAAGGCATCCAGCGTTGGTGCTGATACTCTAGGCACAGACTCAATTTTTCCATTTCATCATCTGCTTTTCCTCATTGCTTGGTGATTGCTGTGGATGGTATAGGCGTTTCATCTGTTTCCTGTTCCCTCTGTTCTTCAAAATCATACTGAGAACGTATCCCTTAGGCAGGTGCAGCTTTTGTAATTTTCTCACCACTTCCGCCTTTATCATCTCCACTTTTGTTTCTATAATTTGCCTCTTCCTTTCAACTCTGCTTTTGAGTTTCCTGGATATAACAGGGTTAACAATCTCCATAAAATATTTCTAAAACTAAACACAAACTTACAAAGCAAGCTATGGACCAAAGTAATCTGATAGCTGGTGTGGAAATGACTGATGGATAGAAACCGATGCATTTTGCTGTCTTTGTGCACACCAGTGAGTATATTCGTTATCTATTGCTGCATAACAAATTCCTCCCAAAATTTAGCAACTTAAAACAATTTAAAACATTTTTTACACTGTTTCTGTGCATCAGGAATCTGGAGAGGTTTAGTTGCGTGGTTCTGGCTCTGGGTCTCTCAAGAGGATGTGGTTGAGGCTCCAGTCAACTGGGTCTGGAAACTGTTTCCAAGAAGATTCCTTCACATGACTATTGGCAATCCTTCCAATTCCTTGCCACCTTGTCCTATCCATAGGGTTTCTTGGGTGTCCTCATAACATGGCAGCTGGCTTCTCCCAGAGCAAATGATCCAAAAGAGAGCAAGACAGAAGCCACATGTCTTTTATGATTAGCCTCAGAAGTTGTACACCATAGTTTTCACAATATCCTATTGGTTACACAGGTTACCAATTATTTAGTGTTGGAGGGGACGACACAGGACATGAATAGTAGTGGGGAGGGTCATGGGGAGGCCATCTTAGAGGC